CCCAGAACTTGGCCCCGATCTGGTTGCCGCACTGGCCGCCCTGGATGTGGAGGATCTCCCTCATGGCGGCGGGGCGGGGGCGGCGGCGGCGGGGCTAGGGTTAGGGTTCCGGCGAGGCGGGGGTGGGGGTTTTGGAGCGGAGATGGCGGAGTGTTCGAGTGGGGGGAGCGGGGTGTCGACCGGGGGAGTTTTTATCTGGGGAGGCGTGGGTGAGGCCAGCAGCGTGGGCGCATTTCGAAATTTGGTCGCCTCCATTTTTTCAGTCTTCTCGTGGCAACCGCGTCGTCTGTTTGAAACCTTGGATTTTCAAACAAAAAAAACTTGGATTTCTTTTTATTTTAAGTTTGGAAAAAACATACCCCTCAGAAAAAAAAGGTATGGAAAAAACATAAAAAACATGTTTTTTAAAGGGCTCATATCTACTCCTTACGTTCCTAAATATTTGTTTTTTTAGAAATTTCAAATGGTTACCACATATAGATGTATTAAGGACAGTATAACCGCACCCTCACAGCGATTTGCATTTTCAACCATCCGTTTTCACGATCTGGACATTCCTGGCCGTCCGATTTTGTCTGAAAGGCGATCTGTCTCTCCTGTGTGTAATCTGGCCCAACTGTCCTGGGCTGCTGCTCCAGAGGCCGAAACGCAGCCCTGTGGTAAACTGGGCCTCTTCAGCCAGCCCATAGTAGCCCATAATCAGAGGGTGGTGCGCTCGTAATTTCTTTTGTGGCTCATCTTCTCCACGGCGACCCCCCCCTCCCGACCTCTGCGCCGCCGAGATCACATACGACGTCCTCGAGCGGCTGCGCTGCGGAGATTACAGATCAAGAAGACGAGCAGGAGGATCAGATCCAGTCAGTTTGACCAGATGGAGCGATGGCCTGGGGGAAGGCCATGGTCGATGACCGCATCGCGTGCCGGCACGGGTGTCACATCCCCGGCTGCCTCTTTATCCATTGACCATCTCACAGTTGTCCTTCTCCCAAGTCTGCAGCCGTTCTCTCCTCAAGCTACGTGAGCCAACTGCAACAAGGTGAGCAACGAGCAGCCTGCTCCCCTTCCCTATCTGCAGTTTTTTTTCGTCCAGATTTTGCGGTTTGATTCTTGCTATTGATAGAAGTTTATGGATGTTTGTAAATTGCGCAGGGCTTGAGATGCTGTGCCGGACAGGCTTGGGTGATCGGAACATGTTGGTGTCTGCGCAAATATGTACACGCTCTGCTTTGTTTATTCCGAGTAGCCGATCTGCTTCTCAGGCTTGTAGTACTAGGTTGCAGTGCGGGTAAGCAATACAGAAAGTGTTAGTACTCAAAATAAGCAATAGATTAGTTGAGCAGTTCTAGATGAACTGGAATTACTAGAGCTTACCCTGAAATTACGAGATAAACTGGACAACAAGCAAGAGATTAATTAAAGAGTATCTGCACTGAATTCAAACAATACAAAGAGAAAAGCAATAGTCGTCATGGGTTGTAGCCTTGTAGGCTACTACAAAAACCTACTTCCTCTGTCCAAAAAAAGCTTGTCTTAGATTTGTCTAAATACAGATGTATCTAGACACATTTTTGTGATATATACATCCGTATCTAGATAAATCTAAGATAAGCTTTTTGGGATGGAGGTAATATATATTCACTGCAGCAGGCAATCTATAAATTGAGTTGTTTTCCCCTATTGTTTAATCACCTCATTATTTTTGATCTGTCAAATTTGTTACTCCCTCAGTTCTTAAATATAAAACCTTTTAGATATTTCAATAATAACTACATACGGATGTATATAGACATATTTTAGAGTGTAGATTCACTCATTTCACTCCGTATGTAGTTCATATTGAAATCTCTAAAAGGTCTTATATTTAGGAACGAGGGAGTATACAATATAAACAATCCTTTTAGTCAATTTCTTGCCATTCTATTGCTAACTTTCTTGCTTGAGTGTTATCTCATCAGGACACAGAAGTTGAAATGCATAAATTTGATCTGAAGTGGCATGATCCCAGTCAAGACTTACTATGCATGTTCGATGTTTTCTCCATTATAGGTAACCTAAGTATATCTTCCAGCTCTTTGTGTTTTACAAATGAATTATTTGAATATCATTTTAGTTGGCTTTGTAAGATATTTAGAGAATAAAGGAGATAACCATGTATGCATGGTTTGGTTTTACATGTGAAGGCCTCAAGCGTACTAATTACTACATATGTTTCTGATAAAAGAATCCAAACATATGCTGATTCGAGTCGTACAATATTCGATGATGGGATGCATGCAGTAGTAGAGTAAGCCACCAGGAGAGGCTACGAACCGGAGTGTGGGAGATCGCCGTTGTTGCTTGGACAGCCTGCCACCACGCTCAAGATCACTCAGTACATACAGACATTACCTGATCATATAGACGAATGAGAGATTTTCGTACCTTATTTCTGTTCACTATGAGTTCCCTTATTTTGCTCGTTTGCAAGAATATTGGAGTCAGATAAGGAATGATGGTATGTTGTGATTATACGTAGTATGTTGTGATCGTGATCTTCAGTTTTATGATTTCTGCTCTCTGTGATAATATACACATTTCTAGAATGAATATCAATTATTTCGTTTCCATGTTTAATCTTTCTTTTTATCATGTCATCTGGGATGTTTGGAACATTAGTATCTTTGACTGATGCAGTACATTTGTTTTCAAACAACATCTGGGCTTAAGAATCCTACTTGGTTTATTTAGAAAAGCATATGGAAACTATATTTGATAAATGCTCTCAGGCTTAGATTGCTAATATCGTAAAGGTGAACAGATAATCTGATCACTTCTTGCTTGTGTCGAAAAAATTCAAGGACGACGGGATATATAATCTGATCACTTCTTGGATGTGTCAAAAAGTGTAAAGACTATTGGCATTGGTTCATGATATGTACTCTGCACTCCCCCATCACATTCTTAATCTTTGCGATCATCTCATCATTGATTTAGATTGTTGCTAGCAACAAAAAATCTAACTACTCCGGTAATCTTGCATGCTACACACAAATTTCCTTTTCCCCAACAAATTAGATTGTCTCGGAATTGATGATGAATATTTGATTATCATGGCTCCATGATGATTTTTCTTCATACTTTTGGGTGAAATCAAACAAATAAAAATATCATCACTCCTCCAGGTTATATGGGTTCGGCTCAATGTTGTACCTGTCAAGCAAGTTGACGCATGCACCATCGCAAGCCAACACCCAACAATCAAGCGGTTCCCTATCAGACCAGTTTCTACGCTTCATTCCGGGGAAAGACAAGGAAATTGCACAGGGGTCCCACTAAGAACAACATGTTTCTCAAGTTGAGAACAAAAACTGTTGCGTGAACTCGCAAATTCAGGACGATCACTATGAATCGACCACTGTCTCGTCTACCATAACAATCGCAAAAGTTGTCTCTATCCTCGCTTTGCTCACATGAATGCCAAAACCATGCTGTAACCCACAACACCCAGTCACCCACACGGCCGCGCACAGATGAAACAAGCACAATTTCGGTGCCTCGATCAGTAGGCAGATCTCCGAACCGACGGTGGACGAGAGGCGCCCAGCCACGTCACGGCGAAGGCGAAGTGGGTCTGGTGACTGGGAGATCGAGAGAGGGAGCGAGAGCTCACCAAATCACGGGAGCGCGCTTGCGACATAGCTCACGGGGGAGTGGACGTCGTCCGGAGGGTATTTTCGTCTGAGGTAACCATACATTGTTAACAAATGTATATCTTGTGCAAATTCTGATTGTTTGTCCATTTATTTATTTACTGGTTGCATCCATGTTTTCCACATCTTTTGTTTTACTACCCTCTATTTCATATTAAGTGTCATTGATTTAGTACAACTTTGTACCAAGTTATTGACTGTTAATATGGAACAAAATGGATCGCAGGGAGTACTTTGCAAGAATAAAAGTATATATTTGTACATTAGTTTCGGCCTAAAGTTGTATGGAGTACATTACTTTGAGATCAACTTTATGTGATTCTGGTACTCTTATATATCGTGACAACCTCAGCACATCTGCCTAATACATTTGCATAAGAATATCCCTTTTCGATTACTGATGATAAGAGTATTTCTTCATGTAATTGAATATCTATGTTTCATTTCTCTTACATCTACGGGAACTCCTATGCCTAATTGTAACACCCCAAAAATTTAACCAAATTTTTGATAATAAAATTTTGCCAAGAGTTTAAATTTTTTGCCTGCAAGAATATTTCTATTGATTTCAGAACCTTTCTTTTAATATTAATGAGTATCTACCCAAGTGGATCCTTCCAAACATTTTTGAACTTCTATGCTCTCTCATTAAAA